AAAAAAAAAAAAAGAGAGAAGAGCAAGGAAAAGAAAATCGTTAACTGCCGCCGCCGCCCCTTCCATTTTTTTACCTCGTAGAGCTTTTATTTCAGTCAACACTCTGCAAAAGAAATGTAATTATATGAAGTCACCTCAACGCGTTACGTCTGCTCTCATTTTTTAAATTATGCTTCCGTACTCCTACGGAATTGTATTCAATCATGTAGTTTGTCTGATATATAATTGTTGCTGCTTATATTTTTTGTTCTTTTTTTTTTTATTTATCTTTTGCAATATCTTTCTTTAGAGACGAAGTTTTGATCTCGGTCTTTCTGTTTTATCTATTTCTTGATCTGAAAGTTGGTTTGTATCTTCTTTTGAGTAATCAGTGTTGATGTGTTTAACACTAGGCCGTTGACATAATCGTTACTCGGATTTGGCTACTCTGTTGAGAACTTGCCCAGAACTTATGAATGTAATATGCCAGAATCATATCATTCTTTTTTATTATTTGTTTTTGTGTGTGTGCTTTTCCTTGTTTGTGGGTTTTTGGATTATCAGAGTATTTAATCCCAAATCAATATTCTTTTGTCTCATTTTCTGTACCAAATTTTTGTCTGCAGGTGTATGGATGGATTGCATTTATAGATGATACAGTGAAACTGAAATGAAGGGAGAGACATTGGGCTTAATACTTGGGTTATCAATTGGGGTAGTGGTTGGATTGTCTTTGGCCATAGCCACATTTTTTTGTTTCAAGTGTCACAAGAAGCGGCCACACATAGAGAAAAGCACTTCTTTGAAGGCTGCTAATATCCCTATACGCGTAAATGGAGCTGATTCTTGTACAATCTTGTCGGACTCATCTCTCGGGACTGAGTCACCCAAGTCTGCCATGCCAAAAGGTATGCTGTTGTGGCTCGGGGGAATGAAGAAGACCAATATGGTTTCTGCATCAGGAATAGTAGAGTATTCTTACAAGTACGTGTTGCTATTCTTACAAGAACTTTTCGAACTTAAATGACTTTCATTTCAATGTGAAGCTGCTTAATGCAGCAAGAAATTGGAGCCTATTCTTGCTTCTGAAAGATTCACTTGGGGTCATCTCTCTATTTTAATTGGATTATCCAGTGAACTAGGGAATTATTGAGCTAATATATTATATACGTATAATTTTCTTGTTGATAGTAGAATATTAACACAGGGCACAACTTGTCAACTTGCTCAGTGCTTCCCACCAGGATAAAAATATAAGTTTCTAATTAAATAATGTTGTTGAGACTTGTTGAATTGATTTGTGTGCTAAGATTACCTCTTCATAGAGCTGTTAAACGAAACGATCTCGGCTGGTTTATCGGTCAAGCTTGTTTAAGGCTCGTTAGGCTTGAAAAACGGGGGTTTACATAATCTCTTGGTCTTTTAGCATAATTCGGCTCGTTAAACCTCGTTAAGGCTAGTTAACGAGCCGAGCTCATTTATCAGCTCGAGCTCAAGTATTATGAATTTGAGCTTGGCTCGGCTCGTTTATAGCTCTAGGCCTCCCCAAGTTTAGTTTATATATTTACCTGGATAATACTGTCCAACAAGGTCAGCATCTATTAAACACTTTGGCATAAACAATGCCTACTACCATGTTTATTAGATTTGTACAGTTGGTAAATGAATGTTATATTTTCGACTTATTCTGGTCCTCGTATTTGTTTGGTGGATCAACATGCAGGGACCTGCAGAAAGCAACCTATAATTTTACCACCTTGATTGGTCAAGGGGCATTTGGCCCCGTTTACAAAGCTCAGATGATGTCTGGTGAGACTGTGGCTGTAAAAGTGCTCGCAACTGATTCAAAGCAGGGGGAGAAAGAGTTCCAAACAGAGGTACTTCGTTTTGACGACTCAGCATATCTCCATGAATTGTCATGGTTCTGTTTGTTGACTTATTATACTCTTCAAATTATTTTTTCCAAATGTTTGGCCCATTTCACTGTTTAAATTTACTCTCAGGTTATGTTATTGGCAAGGCTACATCACAGGAACCTTGTGAATTTGGTGGGCTACTGTGCCGAGAAGAACCAACATATGCTTATATACGTCTACATGAAGCGAGGAAGTTTGGCTTCTCATTTGTATGGTAATTTACATTATGCCCGATCGTTTCAGGTTAATTGGCACTCTCTTTAATATATCGATACAACTCCATTATAAGTCTTCCTCATGCAATTAATTGAGGGGCCTGTAAGTCTGTGTGCTATTATTTTGCACTGACAGCAACTCGAAATTTACATGTTCTGATTGCCACCTGACTCAAGATGAATTCTGTGTTATTCTTTTTATGTCTGCTTCCATATTATTGTTGTCGCCAATTTCTCTCATTTACCCTCTTTTCTGCACGTGTTTTAGATGAAAAACTTGGAGCACTGAAATGGGAATTAAGGGTTTTAATAGCACTTGATGTGGCTAGGGGCTTGGAGTATCTTCATGATGGAGTAAGTTGAACTAGAGTTATTGCTTTGGTGCATTTACAGTTCAGAGATTTCATTGTCTCGTTTTCCTTCTTTATTATTTTTCTGTTGTTTTACTATGCCTTACAATTTTCTTCAGGCAGTTCCACCAGTGATACACCGTGACATCAAATCTTCCAATATCTTATTGGACCAGTATATGAGAGCAAGGGTAATTTGCTAGTGTATATTGTATCCTTCTTTTTATTAATATGGTGATGCGAAATTCCTACAGAATTGGAAAAGTGTATCAGAATCGAAAACTGGAAATCGTTGCTGTTGTGCAGGTTGCAGATTTTGGACTTTCAAGGGAAGAGATGGTTAATGCAAAAGTGGGCAATGTTCGAGGGACTTTTGGGTATCTTGATCCTGAATACATATCTACACGGTCATTTACAAAGAAAAGTGATGTTTACAGCTATGGGGTGCTGTTATTCGAACTTATTGCAGCAAGAAATCCTCAACAGGGTCTTATGGAGTATGTTGAGCTAGTAAGTTTGTTTCTCTTGATCTTGAATCACTGTCTTCTGGGAATATTCTTCGCTTTAGCCATATTCTTCACTTTTTTGCTTGTTCTGTTTATTGTTAATCGTATTTGTTTTTAGAAAAATGCTATAAGTACATAATAAATGTACATAAAGGTGTACATAACACTCACATGTGGGGTCTACTTAATTTTTTATTTTTGGTAGGACCCACTTAATGTGAGTGTTATGTACACCTCTATGTGCATTATTATGTACCTATAGCATTACTCTTGTTTTTATGAGGCTGGAACATATGTTACTCGTAGAAATAATGAAACAATAGTTAGATAAGATAAATGGAAAGAAAAGGTGAGTGAACAATCTAATTTCTAAGTTAATAATTGAGATATAATATTTAATTTTTTTATTTTAAAGAGTTGATTACAGATACTATCCCACAGGATCCATATTGATTTCAAAGTTCAATTATTCTTCCATAATTTCAAATACCCTATCCATATTTTTTTTTCATTTCTACATGCTTATAAGGGGGACTACTTTGTTAAATAGTTGCTGACCCCAAATGAGTATTTGTAATTTGGAAGATCATTGGAGTCCTTATTTTCAATTTTTTTTAACAACATATCTTTAGGCTAAAGAAGTCTCTGTAGTACCTCCTTTTCTGAATGAAGATTAAACAGACTTATGAAAGTGGGTGAATATTTTTACATTCTCAAAATGTAAGTTGGTAAAAGAGTTCCTCCAACAAATATAAAGTGATTTTTTTCTTTTAATGACCCAATCACTGCTTTTGATCAAGTTTCCTTTTTTTTTTTTTCAGTTATTATTATCTATTCCCTTCTCTAAAACTGGTACTTCTTTAATGGTTACAGGCAGCCATGAACAATAATGAAGGGAAAGTTGAGTGGGAGGAGATAGTCGATCCTCGTCTGGACGGGAAATTTGATATAGAAGAACTCGATGAGGTGGCCACTCTTGCGCACAAATGCGTGAATCGTGTGGCGAGAAGAAGGCCATCCATGAGGGACATTGTTCTTGTGCTCTCAAGGGTTCTCAAATCCAGATATAGTAAGAGGCGTAAAAATAATTCGTCTACTCCCAGAGGAGATGAGGTAATCGTCAACATGGAACAGTTAGAACGGAGGTCTGCACATCCTGAACATCGGAGAGTGGAATCTTTGGACAGCATGCCGGAATCGGTTGATGTTTAGAAATTATGTCTTTTTTTGTCATTTTTTTTTTTTTTTTGGATTTACTCTGTTATCGATCTTTGCTGATTTTGGGATTTGTTTATGATTTAGTCTNATAACTCCCATTGTTTTTGTACATGAACACAGTGGTTAGAATGAATTAAGAGTTCTCATTTTCTCTGTGCATGTGTAATTTATGAAATTTGAAGATTTGTAGTGAGTCGTTTGGCAGTGTACTTTTTTTTTTTTGGGAATTCTCTGTTTTACCAAGGCATTCTGGATTGGTGGAAAATCATTGAACAGATTATAACTCCATCTTCAACGTCTCTGTTGAAGATTATAACTTATTTTCAAGTCTAATTCATCTCACACACTTATGCAACGTCTCACGGGAACTTGACCTCGGTGCGTATCAACGATCAAATTAAAACTACTTTTTCCTATCTCATTATGTCACCGTGCATGCGAGACTACTATATCTAACGGTGCAATATGCTGCACGTCCTCATGAAATGTATGACATGTTCACCAATATAAGAAATACTTTTTACAACATTTATCAACAACTATTTTTTCACATAACTCCATCATGTTGTTTTCATAGGTACATATACTTGTAACACTTGGTTTCTTTACTTAGAAAACTATAAATCTATAACTTAGCTTGTTCAGTCAACTCGATCTAATCATAACACTAATAGGTATTGATTACTATTTTAAAACCAACTCATGTTATTGTCTAGCTTATATATTAACTATTCTTATTTGACTTATTACTATGATCATTTATAGCATTTGTAATTTAAAACAAGTTAACTAAATAGAAATTTATTTGTGATAATAAAATTATTAACAACGTCCTCTTATAACAGTGTGATATGAGATACTATATCGGGTCAACTAGACCAATGAAACCAAACAGTTAGACCGAATAAATGGACAGACCGAGCTACAGTCATATTGAATCTGAAGAGCATGAGGTCGATTCGACCTCATGAACAATAGGAGGGCTGGGGAAAAAGATGTTCTACCTAATAAGTGTTCTACTTAATGACGTGGACCTGGTCTCACTTCAAGACAAGAAGACATCTAACTCAAAAACAATGCAATATGAGGATTGGACCACGTGTCGCGACGAGATTGGGTCGCCTGCACACGTGACAAACCTGATAGTCTGAGATGTTGTAGGTGGTACAGACGGGCAACTTAGACACTAGGGTTAACTCTCCAGGCAGACTTGGAGAGCAAGACACCACAACCCGATATAAAGGGGGATGATAGGTTAGTTTTCAGTTTACATTCTCTTCACATACTCTTATATACTGAGTTACTGTTCATCTGCTCCAATCTTATACTGACTTAGGCATCGGAGGTTATTCGGCAGAAAACCTCCCTCCCAGTGTTGAGTTCTTGTAGGTTTGGAGGCCAACCCTGTTCCATCAGCTAGAGGTAGAAGGAAGCCAACCCAGTTCCATCATTGACTATCTTATCTTATTTACTCATTTTTATTTATTAAATAGTATATAATAAAAATTATATTTTTTACAACTTGAATTATTTTTTGATTTATATAGATATTTATAATGTGAAACTTATAAATATCTATTTAAATGGAGGTATATCCATGAAATACAAATGATAATTTAATTACAAATATCTATATAAATCCAATGGAGGTATTATCATGGAGGTTTAGATATTTTACCTGACCATGAAATAATAATTTCATTACAATATTAAGTTTATTTTTCAATAGTAGTCCTAATACAAATGATATATAAATAATAATTTCATTACAATATTAAGTTCATTTTTCAATAGTAGTCCTAATACAAATGATATATCCAATGAAAATAGCAAATTTTATTAATCAAATTGTGTTAATATATAAATTATTCATTAAGTAATATGATTCAAACACAAAGAATGTTATATATTTTAAGTGCTTCTGAACATAATTAACAAAATTAATACCTACAACCATGAGATGATATTTGGTAACACAAAACACTCCGATCGGCTTGAAATCGGCTCGTCTTCCTCCTCCTCGTCGGTAGAACGCCGCGTACTTGCAAAGAACTCTCACACCGGGGGATTTTTCCTGTGAAGAGCCTCCGATGTTTAAGTCAGTATGTGTTTCACTCAATTCTCAAGAGTAAAAATGGATAAATCGTCAGTAACAAGAAAGGCTCACTCCTATATATATAGGAGTGAGATACCTGCCCTAGGAGCTGCCTGGATTTGGTGAGTTGTCTGCCCAACGCTGCCCGAATCTGCCTGTCCGTACACACACACAGTGTGTGTGTGTGTGTGTTAGAGGTGGTTATCGCCACTATCGCTCTGCACCAATGTACTCTCGCGCACATGTCCCTCTGAGCAGAGGGTAATTATTCCCTTAAATATTCCCTAGGAATTCCTGAGGAAGACCACGCGCATCCTCGCGTCCGTCTCACGCTCTCGATTGCTCTTCACTCGCCAGTTGGTCGATCAGATGAGTTCTCCTCAGTAGGTCGATCTTCGACCAGATATACTCCGATGCTCGACCACTTCCTTTCAATCTGCTATTGCTCGACTAACGTAGCATTTCTAATGTTAGGCTTGTACGACCAGTCTAGTGGAGCGGTATATTCCTTAGGCATATAATATCACATATCAATATTGTAATTCAATCAATCATTTTTCATAATTATAATGAATATTTTTTTTTTAATTGTGTCAATAAATTACTATAAAATTAATGCTATGATTTTATTGAAAATATATGTAATCAATCAATATTCTATTTAATTCAATTTACAACTATTGAATATTAGTCATTAAGTGAACAAAAAATAACTAATGTTCATTTATAAAATTTTCTAATAGGTAAAGGTGCATTATATGGTAAATATAGATGAAAATATTTTCCCGCCCCAAACATATGTCAACTATAGTAACAAAGATTGTTACACTATATAGACTAGTACAATACCCGTATATTACACGAGTGTTTGTGAAAAAATTACACTTAAATTTAAAAAGTAATAAAAACACATATTTTAAATTTTAATTTTTACTGAACATACAGCGTTGCGTTCATACTTGAATTGGTTAATTACGGTACCGTCCCTAGTGTGAACGAGGTACTGAACATACAACGTTACGTTCACACTTGAATTGGTTTCTTGCTAATTACATATTTTAAAAAAATATATTATTATTATTTATATTTAAAATGTGACCATCACATATACGATTTACTCGTTTTATATAATAATATTTGTTTTAACTATATCATAGAACTAATTCATAGTTAAACTTATTTAATATATATATATATATATATATATATATATAGTTATTTATTTNGCCCCAATTGCAATATATATATATATATATATATAAAGGGAAGGTGTTATGTAGGTGCGGATGAGCTGCCCCAATTGTTAAGATAAAATAAAATAAAATAAAAAATATTTTTTTTTAGCAATTTGTTGGCCTTCTCACCCTATAAATAGGGATACTCGGCAGAGGAGAAAGTATACAAAAGAAAAGAAAGAGAAAAGGAAAGAAAGAAAGAGGGAAAGGAAAATTAGAGGTATAAAAATAATTTTGGAGGGATAAAAATATCAGAGAGAATAAAATAGAAATATTTATTTGTTATCGAAATAACAAAAGAGTGATATTTTCTATTCCTATTTTAAGTGCTCAATTCTCGACTCCGTTCCAGTTCGCCGGAGCTCGTAAATCTGGTGTGCTACAGATTTAGAGACGTTTGCCGTTGTATCTTTAGGGAAGTTACGCCTAAACCGTTAGCTGCCACACGGGGCGTATTCTTCTTGCGGAAAGAGTTTTACTCGCCTCGGCTAAAATCTTTCCGTTTTAAGTTTTAATTTATTTTTCGGTTATAATTTATTTTTCAGTTCGATTGTAATTTTTTTTTTATTTTTTAGATTATTTGTATGAACTGAAAAATACATATCAGTTCGTAGGATTCCCGTGTAATTTTTATACTTAGTTGATAACAATTTTATCATACAATACAAATGTCAAATTGAAGTTAATGAAGAGATAATTGATTTGATATATTATATATGAGAAAATAATAATTAATATAAAAATTAACGTTTAAAATATATTTACAATTTAAGTTAGTAAAATGTATTATAATTTAATAAAAAATTGGGAGAAAAAGAAAGATTTAGGAAAATAATTTTTATGCCTTATAAACAACACTCAAATTACGAAACTATATTAACACAATTAATGTTCATAAAAATGGTCATATATATTTAATATGTTGATAGATATTTTCAAACCTAATTATTTATAGATTGGAAAAAATTTAAAAGTCAACCAATCCAAATGACAAAACATGAAATTTTGTCACATACAATCCCCAAAAATGCGAGCTAGTCTCCCATTGGTGAATTATATAAGGGATATAGATTTCCTCAATTTGAAAAGTTCATATTTTTCGAAAGAAAGGGTGGACTGCTAAAAGCGATTTTGTAAAATTTTCAGTTCCAACTGTACGAACCGGACAACAAAAAACTTGAGATACACATAATTCTGGTAACATTATCTTCTCTGCGTCTCTCTGAACTCTCACTGCAGAACTCCAGTATCCTTGAATTCCAAATAAAAAGAGAGGGTAAAAGTGAAGGAAAATGGCCGCTCTCCAAAGCTCGTTCACCTCTCTAAGTCTGGGGGCCAACACTTTTCTCGGGCAACGCCTCTCCCCTTCGCTCTATCTGCCTGTGGTACGTCTTTTCGGATTTCCCGTTATATATTTCTCCATTTTTCTTCAATTTCTTCAAATTTTTGTACTCTTCAGCTGAGTTTTTTTAGGGGTAATCGCAATTGCTTGTTGGTTGCTGTATCTTGTAGATTGGTAGCAAAATATGTGTTAATGAAGTTAAATGTTGTATTGAAATTCACTTTATGAGTACTTCCTTGTGAATGCTTGGAAGTTTGTATTGTATATTCCTTGTATCAAAGTTTGGTTCTGCCCCGGAAGTACATGGAAGTGATGCTATGTTGTTCATAGATTCATAATTTTTCAACCCTATGTTGGTAAAAATGAAAAGGGGATATGAGGAAATATTCAATTTATTGACGGAGAGTTGCAAAAACTATGGAAATGATTGAATAAAGGCAAAGGTTATTAAGAAACAAATATTTGAGAAACATTTTGAACCATACCTTGCTTTGGAATTATCAAATTTCATTTGTTCAACATGATTATCTATTTAGTTAATCAAATTACCGCTCCACGCAACTTCTTCGATTTGCTTAAGTTTTACATGGGACGCACATGTTTCTCATTAGCTGTTNATTTGTATCATATGTTCATATATTCATATGTGCAAACTTGTATTTACCACATCTGAAGTTATTATTATGTTTTCCTTAACTAGCAATAACAACTGCTTATGAGAAAGGAAACTTTATACTCTTGTTATAATAGGGGTAATTTTGCATCACCTCCTAGTCAATAACTTCAAATTGGTAGAAATATGACTGTAGTTACGTGCAAGAAATTTACTGCACATAAGCTAGTTAGGTGGGTTCATATCGATGTATTTCTGAGATCCCTTCATGAGTTACTTTTTATCGAAATTTTTGGTATTTCCATTTGCCTCTTAACTTGTTGTGGATGGGCTTTCTATGAAGGCCCTCAAAATAGAAGTAGCTTTGGCTTATTTAGTGACTTCAACTTTTGTATGTCAGGTTAAAAAATCAGAGCAGCCAGTTCGAATTGTTGCAAAGGTTAGTATCTTAATTTCATTGTTTTCCACTCAATCATAAACTATTACTGGAAGCAAACATGTAAACCTCGTATAGTTTTCTTGAGAACCATATCTTTTGTCATAATAGTGTCCTAAGATGTGGAAAATGCAGTTCAGTAGCCTAGGATTTCAAATGCCCCCGCTAGAAAACTTACTTTTTCAAGTTTCTCGCCTTGGTGAAAAGATATATTTGAACTATTGACTAGTGAGTGTATTATCTTTCAAATTTCACCACAGCTCAAGCGGTGGGAGAGAAAAGAGTGCAAACCAAACAGCCTACCAATCATACACAAGATGCATGTTAAACTCGGGGACACTGTAAAAGTTATATCTGGAAGAGACAAAGGTAAAATTGGCGAGGTTACCAGCGTTATCAAGCATAACAGTACCATAGTCATAAAAGATATTAACTTGAAAACCAAGCACGTCAAGAGCAAGGAAGAGGGAGAACAAGGGCAAATAATCAAGGTCTTCCTTCTTCATCATCTCTGTTCATTCTTAATTTTCCCAACCTATAATTTGAAACTCAAAACTATCTTGGGTGAACTATTTCGTTTAGTAATGACGAGATTCTACTTTTCAGATAGAAGCACCTGTTCACAGTTCAAACGTGATGCTTTACTCTAAGGAGCAGAATGTGGCGAGCAGAGTTGGTCACAAAACCCTGGAAAATGGTAAAAGAGTTCGGTACCTCATAAAAACTGGCGAAATCATTGACAGTGCTGAAAACTGGAAGAGAGTGGTGAAAGAGAAAGAAAAATCCACTGAATTAGCTGCTGCCTCGTAATGGAAAGGTGCTGCTGAATTTACCTGACAATTCTTGTGTGAAAGATCAGTTATATACGCTCCTGTGCGCAGCTAATATTTTTTGGACAAATATTTTGCCTTCCTCCAAAAGATCAAATTAGCTTAATTCTTTTTCGTGGACATGTGGTGTATGGTGCTTTTGGCTCGTGAATAGTGTAATGCATTCACTGGTTTGATAAGATTCATGAATCTTTTTTCTTTTACTATTACTTTTTTCTTCAAAATTTGTGTATTGTCTGCGAATCACCACCAATTTACTAAGTGCCCTGAAGTCATTTGAAACAAAAGCTGAAGTCTCCTCACTCTCCTGTATATTATTACATAAACGCTAAGGTGTAAGTTGATTGCTCATTACTCAAATAATAAACCTGGAATCAGAACATAAATTGACAGATTTCAACTAGTTACCATATTTGTTATGTGGAGCTGTCAAAACGGATTTGGGCCCGCGGGCTGATCGGGCCCACCCCACAAAAAGGGTGGGCCTGGTTTTTCTAGGCAGCCAGGGAGCAAGCCTAAACGAGCCAGCACGTGCGGGCTAGGGCCCGTAGGCGAGCCGCCTATTTTTATTTTTGAAAAATATAGACGGCCAGGATTAAATGAATTCAAAATCGAAACCAAGCCTGTTGATTTCTAATCTCTAATCTCTTGAATAGGAAACGGGCCATGCAAAACACACACCACACGGGTCAGCCCGCCTATTTTTTTTTTTTTAAATTATATATACTCGTTTTATATGATCGTCGTAAACGAACTAGGCCTCGTTTTATATACTCGTTTTAACTCGCAGTAAATATTACTTTAATTCACTTGGGTGAGATTCAGTTTACTGGATCAATATACTTACTGTTTTGGGTAACATTATTGTATGTACGATGTGCTGTTAGAATATTTACGGTCACCATGTGCTACGAGATGAGCTCATGAAGGATTATTATGTTAAATCTGGCCAGTGGAATTTATTCCGACATATTAAAAATGTGATGAGTGGTACTAGTCTCGGTTATAGATGTCGATTAATTTAATTATCAGTAATTAAATTAATTGATGGACATTATATCTTAAACACGGGGAGATAAATCGAGTAATTGTTATTGGAGCCTCGAATATAATTCAGGAATTGAATTGGGAGTTTATTCAATAATACTACTTTAGTAGAATTGATGTATTATTCCTATTTGGGTTTGGTAGACTTGGCCTATAGTCTAATCCTAATAGTACCTCCTTGAGGTCTCTGTTGTAGCCTATAAATACATCACATCTCTTGGGATTAGGAGATCGAGAAAATACACGCCTAACGTGAGACACAAAGAGACGCTGCCCCTCTGTCTCTCTCTTGTGTTCTCTTCTTTTTCTCCAAGTAATCCCAGTAGAGATATCTCCGATTTCATCGCCACCAAGATGATCGGAGAGGATGTCGGGCAATACAACAGAAGATCAGAGGGAGTCGAGCGATATATATATTTATCCAACCCCGTAATATATATATATATATATATATATATATATATATATATATATGTATATATTCAACCTCGTAATGTTTCTGTAATTCGCGGGGTTGTCTGTTCTTCACGAAAAGCGAGAATTATGTCAAACGGATGTATTGTAATTAACCGACGACCATCCCACAACGATCGGCGGCCGGGCAGGTGAGCTCCGACGAGCCGCAGCCGCTGGGCTCGCAGCCCAGCACGCCTGGTGATGTCCACAGCCTGCAGCTCGCTTGGAGAAGCCTAGACGCCAGCCCGCGGAGCCCATGTGACTAGGAAGCCCGCTCGCAGGAAGCCCAGCAACGCGTGGAGCGTCCCAGACGCAAGCGGGCGAGGCCCGTCTGGAGGCAGATCCAGTGCGCGGGAAGCCCGCGTCTCCACTCACAGCTTTAGCCCACGCGCCCGATGGCAGCCCGCGAGAGGCCCGATCCAGCCCGCGCGTCCTCAGTAGCCTTCATCCCACCTTCTCGTGGGCCAGTCCCATCAGTCCGGCCCAATGCGTGTCCTGCTCGTCCCAGCGTGCGGCCCATCAATACCAGACGACCCAGATCGCTTCAGATCAAGGCCAGTTCTCTCCAGCCGGCTTAGACGCGACCAGGAGGCCCAGACTGGGTTCGAGAGCGGTGCAGCAGGTTCGGTGAGTGTCGGTGAGTCCGGGGACGATCCGGTGAGTCAACAAAAATTAAAAACGCTATGCATTGAACCCTCGCTTCTAGTTCCGCTGCGCTTAGAGTTTAATTCATAGATAGTCCGTGACTTGCACATTGTCGAGATCCTAACCGGTCCCAACAATAGGTTTACGACGCCAGCACAAACACTTATGGATACATCGGCTGAGTACGCTTGAAGAACGAAAACGCCATCTTCTATGCCGATCTCACTCCAGACCATAGGCGCATCAGACCGACGTCACCATGGAATAGAAGGGCTATCTCTTCACATTGGTCGTAAGTGAACGAATCTTCCTCCATGCTGATCTATGCTAATCTCGTGTGAAAAGGATTGCATTTCAGAACCTGTTTAGGCAGCCCAAAAAATAAGTCACTTGAACAAGTTGCTAAGAGACGCTGCACCTTGCATGTAGTTGACCTATGAGAGTCCACCACGTGTTCTGAGAATAGTATATTTTAATGTCCTTCACCGTCTATAAATTGCGAGGCACCGGTAAAAGCAAAGGGCATCCAAGATCGATCGAGCCATCATTGAAAATTACTGATAGTGACAAATACCATAACTCTGCTACCTTCAATAGGCTCATGTAAAAAGATGTTCGAGAGCGACCCAAATCCCTCCTTAAATCTCAGTGAAGTGTAAACAAACACTTAATTCGTCAACTGTCTTGTTGTTCTTATTGCCTTTCCCGTCTTTATTTCCATCTTTGTCTATATCATAAAACAATGATCACAATCTCAATATAGCATATTACCACTTCGTAATCTTGTAGACAAAATCTTCCATCAACGATAGTAGTGTTTATAATAATTGAAATTATCTTTTTTCTCTCTCTCTCTCTCTCTCTCTCCTCGAAAACAAAATCCCCAAATCTCCTTGCCCTAGATCCGCGATTGTCCGCCTTCTCCGGCGGGACGCCGGCCGTTTCGACGGTAGCTGACTCATGGCTGCACGGCTCTGTCTCGGTGGTGTCGCTGTTCTTTCGCTCGAGCCGGCGGGGTGGGGGACGGTCCAAGAGGTTTCGCCATCTTTCTCGGCCGCCTCTTCGGACTGGTGGTCCGTCAATCTCCTGGGTGGCGAAGCAATGGAAGACGCTGGTGCCTCTGATGGGAAGGGTTGTGGCTCCGACGACCGGATTGTAGGGTCTGGTCGGAGTAAAGGAGATTTGACTCTTCCTCTGTATTCCTTTGGCCTCTGGTGTGCGTGCTGCTGGCGCGACGAGCCCTGGTCCATGGTGTGGGCAGAGCTGGGGGCGAAGGTGGTTAGATGGGGTTTGGTTCAGTTTCCTCCGGCTGTGGGTGGGGTCGGCTCGGGTGCAGGGTCGAGTTCTAGGGTCTAACTCCAGTTAGGTGCGTAAGTTTCAATTTCTGGTGTTGGGGTATGGGACGAGTTCCAATCCGTATGGGTGGTCGGCTATTGGTATTATTGTCGTGATTGCTTGACGTGTTCCCGGCCATGAGAAGGGCTTTATCTTTTTTTCTTTGTGTTTGTGTTTTGTGTTTGTGTTTTTTGGTGTTGTTATTGTTTGGTGTGTTTGTTTGTTCGTGAATTGTGTTTTGTTTTCTTCTCCTTTGGAAGAGCGTATTATTCTCCTGTGGAGAGTTGAGTCATTCTCCTGTGGGGAATTAGCGTCATTCTCCTGTGGGGAGTCCTTATTTTTCTTATTGTGTTGTAGTGTGTGTTGTGACATCTGTACTGGCCTCCCTGAGCAGCTCCTATTCTAGTTGTCAGCCGGTTGTAATTATGTGTTTTTTGTTAATGAATCTATCGTTTCGAAAAAAAAAATGATATGNGTTTATTGTTGGAAACATATATGATAATGTTTTATTTTATTTTTTAATTGTAGGAGTGATATTTGTATTGAAAACGAGAGATGGACAACTTCAGTTCATTTTCAATGAAATAAATATGCATGAATAAACAAAAATGAGAAAATTTATGTATCAATCACAACCATTCTCTAATCTTTTGTGAAACCTATTTATGGCACGCTTGAGGTTAGAGCTAACATGCAAGCCAGTTAGGTCTAACATGCAAACCGATTAGAGCATATGTCAAATTGCCAACAATGCATAGGTAAACAAGCATGTGGCATCATTGTTTCATAAAAGCAATAATGTTAAAATCCGAACGTGTAACATTTCACTTTGTTACTGGTGCCTAGCTAGGGTTTTGCCCTAACAATCAAGTGTCAAAAATTGTTGGGCAAAAAAGGTTTTTTAATTCCTTAAATGATTCTTTTTTTGCTTTTGGCCCCGATAAATGTCTATTTTTAGAAATGGTCTCCTAGGTAAAAAAAATAGATTTTTTATTCTTTGACCGCCTATAACAGGTCAGATTTACCGATTGCCTACGTAGAAATTTCACCTGATTTTTTTTTAATGAGTTGTAATGCTACGTGGTCGCTTATGTGGCAGAGTTGGAAAAAAATGCAAAATCACCTTGTGTTTAATATACTTATATATTACAACCTAATATATATTAAATAAATAAGTAGATTTATTTACTAAAGAAGTAGATATATAAATCACCTTGCAAAATCTACGTATTTAGTAAATATTTATTTAATATACTTCTTTAGTAAATGTTTGTTTATTATATAAAAAAATTTGTTAAAATTTAAAAGTAATACAAATTGAATAATATATATTGGATAAAACGATGTTGGTAAATATATAGGTGAAGTCAAACACTTAACATAAGATGTGTTAGATCAAGTTGTTCATGAGTTCTTTAAAAAAGGCACATGTCCCAGGCCGAATCCTCTTCCTGGCAAATTTTTTGCAACTCTGCCACATAAGTGGCCACGTAGTTTTACAACTCAACAAAAAAACTTCTGTTAAATATGTAAATATTGAGATTGTACTATAAGTTAAATTTAGGCTAAGGCTCATATGTGTATCTATATATATGTATACTCTTCTTTGTGAATAATAGATTAGATATTTTTCCACATTCTCACATGGTATCAGAGTCGGTTCTATCTTGGACCGTGTGATGACGTACCCATTGTTTATCCCCCACGTACCCGTTTATGGGAGCTTGTTTGTAGTAGGGCTTGGGGCACCCAGCCCAGTTGGGCTTGAGCTTTCGAAGGACTCACAAGTGAGGGGGCGTGTTAGAATATCACTTGTGAGTTGTCCCACATCGTTCATATATGGAAAATAGACTCACCTTATAAGACTAATGGGCTACTCCTCCTTCCACCAATTGGTTTTGGGATGGAACCTCATTTGGGCTTCATATGGGCTTTTCCCTTCTTTCATGGTGTCTTTCATGGTAGTGGGCCAGCACCCATTTTCCCCCAGTTTCTGTCAACTTCCACGCGGCCGGTAACTCTGACCTGCTATAGGTGGTCAGAGGACCAAAAATGTAATTATTTTACTTAGGAGATCTTTCCAAAAACAAATTTTTACTGGGACCAAAAGCAAAAAAAAAGATAATTTAAGGGACAAAAAAAAAAATTTGCCGAGTCGTTGACTCACATTTCGAATGCTTATCGTTAGATAATGGATCTACGAATAGTTTTCAAGGCACAAAATCTCACGTGATCTCCACTCACAGGCACGTTGAAATTCGAATGTTCTAAACTTTTGAAATCAAAGTCTCACGTGATTCAAAGAACACCACAAAGTCAGTCACATAGATAGAAATTGAGAGGTTAGGATTGACATGTTGCAAAATTTGTTCTCAATGATGCAATTTTTTGTCTCAAGAATTATTTCTCATGGATCCATAAATTACAAACACGTACGGCCCATCACTCATACCAAAACTAGCAGAAAAGCAAACAAAAAGCCTAATAGAATTTACAGAAGTTGTTATTACTTTTATATAATTGTGGACTTGAAATTGGTTGTGTTCAAACAGAGTCTATTTATAGAAAGTTCTTACATCTTTTAAGAAACTCTGTACCATAATAAAATCAAAGTCTAGTCATATCGTGAAGAGTTCAGACTTCAGATCAGTATATATTTTAAATTTCTGAACCGAAAATAGATAGTCCTGAGCGTTGGGTGCATTTATAAATTGGCATCTACCATTCAGTATTGTACCTGTGTCGATTTTGCTGCACATCATCACTCTAAAAAATCACTGAAATTTACTCCCACTAATATAAACAAGGTTGACATATATTTATTTAGGTCGGTTTTTCTCCATAAAAGTTTGATTTTTTCGGTTTTTATTATTAAGATTTCATATCGCTTTTTCTAACTGAGTAACCTCAATGGCCGAATTGAATAAATTTCTGTTATTTCGATATTGGTTTCTGCTTTGATTTTCTAAAATCAAATTAACCGAACAAATTGAATTCCATCAAATGTATTAATATTTTTATATATTCATATATATATATATATAGTATAAAAATGTACATTTTTACAAAAAAAAAAATATTAATTTACATTATATCTATATATATTATAAATTGTAACATATTTTGGTTGACCGACTGAATTAAACAATTACTTAAGTTCGGCTGTAGACTCGCACAAATTCAGTCAGTTCGATTTTGATAAACAATCCATACAATTATTTTGGTTTTCGCACATAATCTACTGATGAACGCCTCTAATTATAGCTTATAATAGATATAGTTATTAATATTTCTTGTATTTTAAAAATTTGAGTTCATCTAGATTTAATATATGTTTTTTTTTTTTTCAGAAAGAGGGTCACGCGACGAGGCCGTTGACGGCCGCATTAACCTTCAGTTTGCCGCCCAGCGGCAGCGGTGGTTGGCCGCGATTCCCGACGACCAGGAACAGTGGCCTCAATCGCCGGCAGTGGCGTGACGGGAGATCGATGATCAGAGATGGGCGATGTGTGAATCGGCGAGAGTTGCAATTCCAAGAAAAGTTGTATACGAACAGATGAAAACTAATTCCAATTTCCTTTTCTTAATTTCAGTTTAATTGACATTAAAATAATTTCTGTATATCCACGCAAGCCAAAAAAATCCACGTAGATGTAAGCTGCCGGACACGCTGACATTTTTGGAAGGTCCGGCCGGTTTAAGGTTCGATTTGCAATAAGTAAAGTGAGGTTGAGATTATAATGCAATTATCCAAAGGTTGGGATAAAATTTCCAAACGTAAAAAGGTTGAGGTTTATTTAGCAATTAGCCCATTATTTAATAAGACAATTAATTTTTTTAAAATTATTTAGATATTATTTTTATAAATATAATTTTTTTTTTTATATCGAGGTTCCAGGCTTGCGGCTGACTAGTTCTCGAGGAAACAACTCCAGCCTCTCAGACACTGCCTCCAATTAAACCGCGGTAGCCACACAATGGCTCCCAGGTACTTAATACCCTCAACTACCGCGCACAAGGAGTCGATCCCCAAGTGATCGCTCGCTGGCCCTCCCAGCTCCAAGTTGGCCCCACCTATCCGGCCGCTGGTTCCCACCGAAGTGATCGCTCGCTGGCCCGCCAACTTTATGCTGGCCCCATTTATCCAGCCGCTGGTTCCCACCGAGTTTCAGCCTCCCACACTGCCGCTTCTAGTCCTCAGTATTAATTGTTTCACCATTGCGCTCTGGGGGGCTCGAACCCTTGACCTCATGTCAAGGGTGTCTCACTCTTACCACTAGGCCAAGAGGTCATTGGCTTCTTTTGTTTCATTTTTTAATTTACAGGTTTGGTGGAGGTTTGTAAAAGCAACACCGGTTCAAAATTCCAAACCTTGAACCTCTTCACTTTAATAGCAAAACCTTGAGGTTTGATTTTAGTGGTAAACTTGTATAAACCCTACTTTTCAATTTTCAATGTGCCATGTCATCTAAAATCCAATTCCTACAAAACTCAAATAATAATAAACTTTACAAATTAAAAAAATATATATAAATTAAAACAAGTGTCTAACATTGTGGCAGGTGTGGGCCATGACACCCAACACATGATTTGAAGTGCGTGTGTCCCCAACACTCATAAAAAGCTTTTCTCTCAAACAGTGTAATACACACGCCATCAAGTGAATCATTTATATCATATTTTTCATTTCACTTTTCAGTTTAGAAGAGGTTTGTGAAATCAAACCTGGTGAGTCTTTCGTAAACCTTAAACCTGCTCAATATAATGGAAAAACTATGAGGTTTGTGTTTGTAAACCTGTGGAAAAGCTCTATTAGAGATGCTCTAAGACCAATGGACCCCGCCGGACACATGCTGGGTCAAGGTTAATTCGGATGGGGCCTTTGATACCTCTACTGGATTGAGTAGTGCCGGAAGTTTGATAAGAGACGAGTGTGGAAAATGGGTGGACGGTTTTCTTATGAATATTGGCTACTGTACTATTACAGGCGCCGAGCTTTGGGGACTTTTGCAGGGGCTGCTATTGGCATGGGATTTGGGATACCAACGAGTTATTGCGGAGGTGGACAGCCAGTGTGTGACGCAATTGGTTAGTGGCACGGACGATAGGTGTGGGCCACATACTGCCCTAGTTATGGCCATTCGAAACCTTTTAGATCGAGAATGGAACGTTAAGATTCAACACGTTCATCGGGAAGCGAACATCGCGGCGGATCACATGGCAAGCTTAGCGGCCTACTCTTCAGTCGGGTTACATCGGACTTCGTCCCCCTCATGGGATTGGGAGCATGATTGCAGCATGATCTTATTGGGGTCTATTATCCCCGTCGTATTTTAGCCTAGTCGTTATTTAAAGCCTATGACCTCCTTCTTTGTACAAAAAAAAAATAAAAAATAAAAAAATAAGACCAATGGCACTCATTTTGAATACATAGCGTAAACATGATGTCATTCAAATCACATGAAATGAATACAAACGAGGATAAGAAAGCATGGGTTGACAATATAAAGGGCCAACAAAGAAAAACAAAATAGAGCTCATACAAAGCATAAGACTTCAAAACGGGAATCGTTCAGACAAAGAAAACATTATTTCGTACAGCATGACCTGTTATTGTCGAAATTCCTGTTCTTTAAATTTGAAATTGCACCCTCATCTCATGATTCATAAATATTGCACTTGGTCCACATATCTTCCCTTCATTTATTGCAGCTACTCGCTGAATGATTATTTATTATTCTGTACGTATTTCATTTCTATTCAACTTGGCGAGTGCTATTCAATTCATTGAGAAAATCAAATAACCCTATGCTCGCAAATACATATATGAATCTCAATTATTTGTTATTTTTAATTATTTTACAATGCCAAGAAAAAACGAGCGGGATTTTCATCCCATTGATGACTAGACTGACACATCCATTGGTTCCAAATTACTACAAATAAAAAGTAGATACATTTGGGAAAAATTCTANACCATCTACCATGAACATGAAGGAATTCAAAAACTTTCCCTAACACCAAACTTGGGCCTTCATGTTTTACAAACGACAACAAAACAAGGAAGCAAAGCCTTGGGATTAAGCAAGTAAAGCTCCTCAATATTCGAATATAGGCCAACTTTGCCGGCCAACGAGTCGAACCCCACTTGCCCCACAATCTCCTCCACACTCTCGACTGGCCTATGCACCCTCCCGGCTATAACCCTACAAACTATCAAAGCCTTCCTAACCGAGTAATTATCCTCCGCGCTCACCTCTACGGACTCAAGCGCCCGTCCGCTAGTCGAGGCCGTGAAAACTCCTATTCCGCCTTTCTTCATTTCCCTTTTGGCCGAAAACCCGTTTCTAATAATGCAGCAAACGTTGCATTTCTCGGAAATGCACAGGCTCGACGAGCCGTTTAGGCCCAACGAGCACAAAAGGGTTGTGCCGTGAAATCTCAAGAGCTCGTTGCCATCAGCTAAACAACGAGGGTGCTTTTTCGGAAGTTTGCTTGCTTTGATTTTAACCGTCTCTCTGTAGTCCTCGAATATTGTAAGGGCTTTCTGCATGTTGTGGACTTTGAGGACTTTGTCTATTTTCACGGATTGGGTCTCGGGTTTTGGCATTGTCGACCGGCAGATAATTTCCACTATTTTTCTTGACGAGTCGAGCTCGGATAGTTCAGATACTGCAAGAAAATGCAGAACGAAACAGAGTATTATAGTTTTGACCAAATTAACTAAATTGTAATAATAATGAATCTGAAAATGGAATTGAGATTACCAGCATGATTGGAAAGATGATGAGATTCAAGAGCCTCCCATCTCACAAAATGCTCTCCACACTTATGGCAAGCACCGCCATTACCATGTTTTTCAAGGGGCCCACTTTTTCTAGGCCGGCCGCCATTGCCAAGTTCTTCCCTTTCCATCTGTGTTAAAAATTGAGTCTTTTTCTTGGAATTTCTGGAAGAGGGGTTATTAGGATGAATGTTTTCTGCGGGGCCCGGCGTCCCGGGTCTTACTGTTCCGACAAACGTGGATCTGCCGAAGCCGGTGATCTTGAACTCGCAGTTGGAGTCAGTGAGAATGACTTCGTGGGCAATGGGGTTGAGAAACTCGGAGCTGCCGATGGATCTGGGGCTGCAGCTGGCCGGCCTCTCAAGGTGCCGCTTGCTGCCATGGATGACGTCCTTGAGGTTGGAGATGGACCGGGAGCACCCGGACCGGCCGGTTTTCTTGGTCAAGATCGAGGTCAGCTGACTCCGGCGGATCCTTGGGTCGTGCACATCCGACGGCTCAGATTTGCAGTGCAGCGAGTTTCTCAGTGAGAACCAAACGTTTGGCTTCTCTTTCGTCTTCTTCTTCTTTTTATTTTTATTAGGCTCTTCCATTTGAGAAGTTCGAAATGCCTGCAAGATGCTCGACGAATTATCCAAGAGAAAAAAAAAAAAAATCTCTGGATAGTGTGTAACAAATGGCAGTGAGCAGTCTTTTATTTCACAACTCTCTCTATAAGTTAAGTTGTGACGGTGGGGGAAAGTAGTTGATATGGAGACAAGAAAGAGTAATTCCCATTCTTGGATAACATTAATATCATGATATTTGCATTTTCATTTTCACAAACATTGCCTTAAATCAGCACATGAGCAAAGAGAGGAAGCGGAATTCCCTCTTTTTTTTTTTTTTTTTTTANTGAATTGCTGCATGTGCTCTACTCTATTAATGAGGAAAGAAGAGGGACTTGGTCCCAAAACACATAATACTATGAAATCAAGGTCATATATTACTTTGAAAACCACCTTGAGGTTAAGTCAAATAGCATAAAAGCATTATATTAAGCCTACTGTGAGGAAAATTGGTAGAATGTTCATAGTTAGTAAAATATCATTAATTATAATATGTTTGTCGGGAAATAGGAAAGCATATGGAATCAATGGGCTATATTTTATCATGTAGTTTTCCAAATATTGTATGTCACCTCTCGTACTGCAAATGACTCAAATGACCCGTGAGTGCTCACGTCAAAGCTTTGCTTAAGCTCAAGTTGGACTGAGCTTGAGTAGCAAATCAACATGGGCGTATCTTTTTATGGATCAGTGTGGGCCTAGGCCCACACTAGAAAAAAAAAAAATATTTTAACTTATACCCTCTAAGACTAAAAAATTAGTTTAATACTCTATTAATAAAATTAAGAAACAGTACTTGGTGGGAACACCAAGAAAGGGAAAAAAAAGATAATAGGGAAAAAATAACTATTCTTATTAATTTTTATTTTGGTAAAAGTAAATCTAATTTTTTTTATATTAAATTTGATAGAATAAATTAAATTTAGCATATTTGTAGTTTATTGAATGTTGTTTCTTACAAGGCTATTTTCACATATTTAAATTTGTGTGTGACTGATAACTTAAATTGCAGGGCTTTTAACAGTTTGGTATATTAGACAAAGCATTTTACACATTAAAATTATTATTTTTATATCAAATTTTGTAGAAATATTTTTATGAACATCCTTGACAAAAAAGGCATGTAGAAATATTTTAAAATTAGCCACTTTTAGTTCAAATATACTTGACGTGAATTATAATATTGTTGGGCCGAAAAAAAATGTAATGATTTTATATTATAAAGTCATACCAAGCTATGAAAATTCTTAAAAAAAGTTGGCTGCTTATTTGTCTTTCCCGGTAGTGGCTACCTAAGAAAGCAAACCCCCTGAGAGTCATACCAAGCTCTGAAAACTCATAAGAATTGCTATGAATGTATATATTTGTATTTATATACTTTGTTATGATATATTATATTTCTTTTCTAGAAACAAGTAGGCCCCCACTCATTTTATGAGCTAGATCAGCCCCTGCAGATCAAGCCAATAGTCGAGCCAATCTCGACACAACCTTTTGTAGCATCGAGCAGCTTGAATTATATATAAGTATAAATTTGCTTAAATATCCCTTAATCATAATTGTCTATACTAATAAACCAGAGGACGATTTTGTCATTTTAATATTAATAGAATATTTTATTTATCATGTTTTTCAATCCAAATCGTTCCACAGTCCACATCTACAATTTCCATTCTCATCTCATCTCTCCCGCAGCCCACAATATAGAAAACCCTAGTCGGTTATCTTCTTCGCTGAATGTCACTGGTGTTCAGCCCCCTAAATAAATTTCATCGTCGCTAGTGTTTAGCCTCATTAGTGTAGAACGAAATCATCTTCCTCAAAGTTGGCGCTTAACCCGCAACTCCATGTTATAAGGATAATGTTTGCATTTTTTTTTTACTAAAGAATATGGGTCAAAAGCCGTGAATATGAGAGAGAGAAAAATGTAAAATTCTAGGGAAGGAAATAGAAGACAGTGTTAAAAAAAAAAGTCTTCTACATTATTTCCTAGAATCAATCATACGCAAGACTCTGAAGGAGATCCGAGCATTCGTCCCTAGAAAAAATGAGCTCGAAGAGGTGCCGGGACATATAGCAGAAGATCAAAAGGTCACCCATTAATCGTATCAAGAACAAAAAAATATTACATACTATTCATCTTACGACCCACGCAAGGGCTTACATGCTTGATCAAGAAAGTAGTAAACTATATGTCGTCCCCCCTCGTGCTGCAAATTTTGTAAACTGTAAAGATTTGAATCCTAGCTTTAGTTATGTTGCAAGTAGGATTCAATTTCTTAAATTCTCGTTCAATTCGACGCACAATCATCGACGTCCTTCACCGAACCCAATAATTGGTACCATAGCCATGGTAATTCAATTTTTGTGCAATGATCGAATGAGAACATACGTCAAATAATTGTGTACGATGCAACGCATTGTAGTGTAGAATCGCATGTTTTTAGTTATAGGATTTTATGATCCACTATTATGGCCACGTATGTATGCTTTATTTTCATGTATGTTCTGAAAGCCTCAGTTATAACCAGGAATTTTGGGTTGTTGATTGTTTGTAATAGATTTAGAAGCACGACGGAACGCTGTATAATTTATTGCTTTCTATATCAACCATGAAAACCCCTGCGTGTGTCATAGGATGAAAAACTTATAATGTTTGTTTTTTATACAACGAACGCGACTCACAGGATGACAATGATCGAAGATCAGACGACCTCGATAAGCGGCCTTGCCACGGGTCTTGTCGACGGGCTTGTGTATCTCAACAATCTTATGTGTAGGCACTCGGCCACCGTCACTAATGACAACTGGTTAGTGGAGAAGGGCTGGGATGCCGGCGAACTTGTGGTTGATGGGATAAGGTGGAAGCTGTCGTCAAGAGGAGGTTGACAGGGGACTTAGCAACTCGCAGACGACCATTGGTATGTAAAATACTTTCGACCGGCTGGAATCGTCCAATTCTTGAGCTCCTCTGTCAGTTGAACGCCTTTAGGCCTGAAAAAACTCGAACACCGGAGGGGTTTTTCGGTGAAGATCTTTCGATGCTTAAATGAGTATGTGTAGAAGATGAATTGCAGGAAGTATAGAGTATATGGACATAATGGCTAAATCCACATGTCTCACCCCTATTTATAAAGGTGAGGTACCTGTTTCTAGAAGGCTACCCGAATGTGGTGAGCTGGCCACCCATTCTGCTCGATAGTACAACCCACACTACCCAGTGTGTCAGAGACGGTTATGAGGCGTAGACCAATCCGGTGGTGCCATGTGTCTTTGCCCATGTGCTACATTAATTACTATGAGATTTATTTTTATTCCTTAGTCTTTCGTGTTAGACCACCTAATGGTGCGACCAACTCGAGGTCTGTTGAGGTAGATTACTAACTGTTGTTAGCCCCAGCATCGTCCTTTCTGGTCGATCATATGTCCAGTCCTACAACATGTCGAGTTTCTCAGGCCAGCCAAGGGCCTTAGCTCGATCTGTTATCGTTTTCTTGTACCCCTTAGGCTGTCTCCAAATCGAAGGCTCTTAATCATGTATTGGTGATGTTCGATCACCCGATCCTATTGTTGTTCTGGTCGATCAAGTGGTTCACTCAGCCAGATCAGCCAGTTTATCTCCTTAGGTATGGTATCCCATACCAGTCGCGGCATGTGACTAGGTCATAGGTGCCTGCACGTAGCGCCCTGTGATTAGTAGGATCTCTTGTCGATCGAAATATTCCTCTGGCGACCATCTCGGCAGAGCATTGGTATTGGAGAGGACATCGAAAGTGATGGTTGGTGTGCAGAGAAACTTGCGGCCACCAGTGCGTATAGCCACAAGATGGTCAAGGCACTGTGCAGTTTTTAGCGTCGCCGAGAGTGGTCGACTATAGTGGGAGATGTCCGGAAACCAAGGGCAGGGCCGCGTAATTGTCACGAGAGTGCCCTACCAAACACAGCTTACGCAGACTTGTAGACGCGCGTGTGCAAGAATCATGGGCAACAAATCACAAGCAGGTGGGAAGCGCACGATCTTCGCGCAGGCTACCCATCGCATGCATGGCTTGGGTGACACCCGAGCATCTCTCACGATGCTTGTGTGATACCCCAACAATGCACTGTAGTTGCGCGATATCTTAAGCCGTAGAGAAGCCAGTTGGCGAGTTACAAACGCTCCACGAACTGTGGGAAGCCGATGGCAAGGACGAGGCAATGATAGATGACGATCGACAAGTTTTTTCGATGACTGGCTTGAAGACAAGGTGACCAAGTGCCGATGATTGACGGTAGCGGGTGGTGTGTGAGGAACCTACACACACTTGCTCGCAAGGCCGTGCAACCAGCCAAGCAGTGTCGCTCGCAACATAGCTGAGCTGTGCGGACTATGGTGAGATGTTGCTCGTTGACCATTGCGATTGTCGCGCAAGCGCCTTACCAAGTGCAGTTTTCTCGGCCGAACACGCTGAAAGTCGCACAATACCAGCGCACGCGGGTGGCAGGCGTGCAATTATTACATAGGCATGCCCAAGGTTCGCGTGGATCAGCGATGCCTGATGAGCTTGCATGACATCTGCACGCACACCGTGACAACGCGCTGCAGTCGCTCAACAACTTAAGCCACGAGCTACGCAACAAGTTTGCTAGGCACGCTCAGCTACCTCGGTGACATACACAGACATGAGATGGACGAAGGAGACGTGGTGATACGACACACGGTGGGCGAGGCTCGATGGTGGTTGTGCAGCGACGATCGTTGCGGCGAATTTTTCAAGCGATTAGAAGACTTTTAGTGAGAGGTCGAACTGAGAGAGCGTTGAAATTGACTTGATTAGCAGGAAATCTGGACTGTTTAGGGAATTGCAATTCCAACAGGACATGGACTATATTATCCTTTATTATTTAAATTAATGGTCATAATAGTCAGAATTAATGTCGTATTTATGTTATTAATTATTAAATTTGTTGTTTAATTAATTGGTTCTTGAATGCTTGGAAATTAATTATAGAAATGTATTCATAGAAAACCCTCTATTTTAACATACTGAGTGGGAGAAGTTTTTTCTTAAAAATGAAATTTTTTTCTAAAAAACATAAGGCCTACATTACTGGTTTGTCGATGATGTAATTAATTTACGCGTCGGTTTATGTACCTTCTTCCGCAACGGTTGAATTAACTATGGTTCGCTAGGATGAATTTCCTTCAAGATGGTTGTAGTAATTATATTTGGAGTGTTTTCACCCATCTAACTTGGGGTTCATAATCCTTTATAATGGAATTAGGTGTTGGGTTCTATGGAGAACATCGGCCTAAGTTCACGCCCAAATCTTATTGAATCAACTCCTAATGCAGTAGAATTTATAGTTAGGGTTGAGAACATATGTTT